CCTTCTGACTAGGGTGCCGAAACTATCAATGGATTCGGCGGGCAGCTGGGTATACCAGTTGAGCGCGGCTCCCTTGAGCGAGGTTGGAAAAACCCTACACAAGATAGCGTCATTGTTAGTGTAGAGGTTTACCTACGTTGTATACAGGTCGATGTGCTCATCTGGGTCCGTCGTGCCATCATAACGATCGAGGTGGAGAGGCTTCCACCCATGAGGGAGTGGTGTCTCCATGATGCCATTCACGAAAGGGTGGCGGAGGAAGGTCGCCTGATCCCCTGGGATATGAGTAGGGGCCTTGCTGACTTCGTGGGCCGACTTGTGTGTTGGTGCATGGGACTGATGTGTGGCAGGTCGTTGAGTCGGTGCCCTAGTTGCGGTCTGGGGTTGAGAGACTGAGTGCTCCTCCTCCTCATTATGGTTGCTCGCATGAGGAGGATGATTAGCATGGTGCCGAGGGAGTTAAGCACGGATTCGCTTGTTCTCGGCGCGTAGTGCCGCCAGGTCGGCTTCATTAGCGGTACGCATTGCCGCTAGGTCAATGTCGTGCTTGGCACGCATGTTTTGTAGGTCGGCGGCATATTGCTGCCGCATCTGTTCGACCTGGTCGATTAGTCTCCTCAATGCTGCTTCGTTATCCATGGTAGTTGAGTGATTTGCGTCGTCTGTTGTGCGTCTGCTATGGCTTCTGGTGAAAACCATAAGCGTGGCCGATAAGAGCTGTCTTGATCGGCCCCACGGTGGGCGCCAAATGTTATTACCGGAAATTTGTTATAGAGATGATCCTCCGAGTAAGATTGGTGAGCCTCCTTCGCTGGTACGCTCGATGCTCCAAGATGGGGGTGTAACTGCAAAAGAGACTCCGATGCTAAAGTTAGGGTTTGTGTGAGTATAAGTCTCGTATAAGTAATGCACGTACCTTAGTGTGAATTAGGGTTGCTTTGGGCCCTGGGCCTGAGATGAGATATGATAAGATTAGGTAGTGGATCCCGTCTGGGGCGAGATTCCCTGATATCAGTTATGATCTACTTAACGAAAGTTGGAAAGTTGGCACCGCAACTTTTGACCAACAGTATTGATAACACATTTTCTGGTTGACTTGTTTGAAATTTTGGTGATAGATAGTCCATCAGAGGCGTGAATAAAAATTTGTTATCTTGTTGGTTCTTGGCTGCTGTAATGGTAAACTAGCTGTCATTGACTGCTTTATATGGCTTTGTGCATGAGAGCCTTTTCTCCTTTTTTTGTGAAAATATTTTTTATAACTCGTTCTCTTCACTTTAACTGTTATAAATCCTTAAAATGTAATATAAGATAATTGGCTTAGCAAGTGGGGGTGGGGTGTTCCTTTTATTTATTCTGGGCCAAGTTTTTTCCCATTAATTTCTGAGCTTTTGAATACTTTAGCGAATCTTATGCTTTCAAAATTCATAGCTGGAACAAGTTGTATTTATTGGAGTCTTGTTCTATGTTAGTTTTAATAGACAAAAAAATACTACAGCTGAGCTTTTCTTATTATACAATCATGATATGAAGAAAAATATCTGAGTAAGACTTACCTGGATGCAAGGTTTGAAAACTCATTTGAGATTATTACTTCGCTCACTCTCCATCCCCTTTTTCCTTGCTGAACTTTTTCTTTCCTTTCAAATTGCCTTGGCTTTCTGTTGAACAAGGATATAATTTTTTGGTTAAAAAAAATAATATATATATATATATATATATATATAAAGTAATATCCTAATACACAATGAAATTTTACAAAAATAAATATCATTGTACGTCTGGGAACTCTATATAATTCCTGTGTGGAATGACATTCAAAGTGACATTATGTGCAAAACTGTAGTCTAATTATGCATGTATGAAATTTAAGGATGAAAATTTACTGTCATTTTTACACTCACCTCTCAAGAAATTAGTCCAAACATAATATACCTTTTACAATTTAAATATTATTAATTTGCCAGATTCTCTGTATCCTTCATGTATAGAATTACATTTAATGTGACATTACAACATGCAAAACAGAATACAAGCAACAAATGGTTACTGAAAAATAAAACCACCAATGTGTCAAATTAATTAGTCTATATAAAGAGACCTATGGTAGAGGTAAGAAATCACAAGCAACTCTTTTCACTTCATATATATATATATATATATGCAGCTCCTCTGTTTTGGGCAACTTTTTTTTTTTTTTTTCATTGATGGCATTCCCTTTAATATAGTTAGGAACTAGGTAATTTAACAATAAATAGCTGGCTTTGTATACAAGCCTTCCACCAATATTATCGCAGGGCCTGGAAAGGGTCAGATGTAAAAATCTAATTACAATATATTTGTGTGGTGACCACCAAACATTGGTTATAAATGACATTGTTGTAAATAGTTTTCTCTTAGAAACTCTTATACTGTAGCTCATGTATTTTGGCACTTTTTTCTTGATTAGGTAGAAGATAAGTTCATCAAGGTATCTTTAAACAGCCAAAAAAAACTATTTAGTTTATGAATTTATTCTCTACTATAACAAAACCTATAACAACAGGATATACTTGCAAGCTTAATTTGTTTCTATTTTGTTGATTATCTGTCTGAATAGTGTCATTGCCTAAATCACGTCTTTCTCTTTTTCGTTTCTTATTTTTCTGTGGCAGTGCATAAATCACAGGCTGACCCCTTTTTTCCCCCCTAAGATACCAAAAACGTTAATTAAGACTGCACCAAGTTCCACACAGCTTGTAGAATGTTCAGTATTATTGTGCTTGAAAAGTCATGAACGAGAACATACATTAACAAATAATTAGGTTGAGCGATCTAATTTGAGGAGGGCAAGCTCTTTCAACAATATCCGTTATTGAGGCAAACTTTAGTACTTTACTGGTGGAAAGGATGGTTGTGTTAATATTACATTTTCTTGTTTTTTCAAGGGATGTTTTTTTATTACATGACTGTTACTAATTTTGCATATTTATTTCTGCATTCCTTTTTCCAAAGTTTCAATCATAAAGTGTGACCTTCCATTTTGTTTTGATTTTAGTTTCTGGGGGTCTTAAATTCAAAGAAATCAAAATTGAGAGAGCTTCGAGATAAGCTGTCAAAACAAGAGAATACTGAAAAACCTCCTCAAGAGGAAGACACAGAAAACACCGATAGTTTTGATGAAGAAAGTGATTATGACAAAAGTGATGAAGATCCTCAAAAGGATATTACTAGCTCTTCAAGGGATGTTTTGACCAATAACTCCTCGTCCAAAAAGAACTAGACGCTCATGACATTATTTGCAGCATTCAAGAGTTGATTTCCATCTTGGATTTGACATCTTTACAGAAATTTGTTATAACTTAGATAAACAAGTACCCCTTGTTATCCAACATCCCTGCATCAATTCATATGAACTGTGTAAACCTTTGTCTTATGTACAGGTTTGTGTAATTCTCAGGTTCTACGTATAGTTTCTCACATTTACACAGGCTACTCAACTGTATGTGAAAACCGTTGCATGCCACTGCCAACTTAGTTCTCACGCTGAAACAATTTTTGAATGATTAAAATGGGACAACTTTTAATTAATTTCAGACATTTATGAAATATTTTAACACATTTATGATTATATATATATATATTATTGGTGGTTGATTTTTATAATATTTTTAATTAATCAAATGTTATTAAACCTGATAATTATGATTATGGTTAATTTTTATAATTAATAAGTTATTATCATTATTCTAAGCTAATGATTAATAATAGTACAATGACTTCTGTGAGATCTCAACAACTGGTCTGGTATCTTTGAAGGTCTGTTAACATAAAAAAAATGTTAGCCCGAGCATCGACGGTTTCAGGCCAAAAAAATTTAAACCGAAGAAAATGGTTCACTTTAAATATGGAACCATAATCGACCGAGAAGACTTTAAGTTTTGTTGGATCTTAAGCAACGCGGGTAACGGGTGATTTGGGTTGGTTTAAAATTATACATGAGTAGTGAAAAATTGAAGATGAAATTACATTGGGATAACGCTTTGCAACGACTTTTCATGATCAGTGGACTTGGAAACTTAAAAGCAAATGTTCCAAAGGAAATAAAAGTAAAAATTAAAAAGGTTGACTGCTTGAGAGACAATCAAGAAGAGGGAGAGATTGAATAACTAAAAGAAAACCCCCCATAGTTAACGAAAGAGTTGTACAGTTGAAGAAAATCACCATAAAATTGGTGGAAAAAACAAAGATATGTGTAAGGTAAGATGTATCTTTGCACATTGGAATTTAACTTTTCTTTTCTTTTATTTTTTAATTTCCACGTTTGAAATTTAAATTATTATATTTGTATCTAGCTATCTACTTTTTACATTTGAGTGACTGATTTATTTATGAATAAGCGAAGCAAACTGAGCAAGTTGCTACAGGTTTAGAGTGTATCATCTTCTTTTCAATTTTAAATTTTATTTTATTAATTTATTCGATCAGATTCAGGAATCAAAATCTATTTTTGAAATCCGACCGTTTTAATCCCCTATAAATAGTTTATATATATATATATATATATATTTTATTTTCGGTTTTATGGGTTTCAGTCGATATGGAAATTTTTTATCACCCCTAAGTCATGTTATGCCTTCATGGCATGTTTCTTTTAGTCAACATATGTACGGAAAAAGGAAAGAAAAAAATAGAATGGAAGAAAATCAGAATCAATGTAGGCTTTCAAATTTACATTTCTACATGGAATTGCACTTCTAAAGACCGTGTATGTGATAATCACTAATCAAACTTCTCTAGTCCGGTACCTTACATATTGATAGGGATTTGGAGTGTTGGAAGGAGAAGTGGATAAATTTAATGTCAAACAGAATAAATTTTAATAAATAATTAATTTTAAATTATTATAAGCTGTCGAGTAAAATCAATTATAAATTTTATATTGAAATTATCATGATTTATGATGAAAGGAATTAATTTTGTACATTGAATAAAACATAGATGTAGCTTTAGAGTTATTTTCTAATTAGAATTCATTTTTTATCTTAATTCTGCATACTAAATGTTTGCATTAAAAGTTAACATTAATTATTGATTGTTTAAGAATTTTTTTTAATTTTAATTAAAGAATAACATAAAAAATATTTGTAAAATTATATTTAAGTTTTGTGGTATACCGTATACATTGCCGTACTAACATTTATTTTTATGAGAAACGAGCCGAAATGTCAAGAAAAGAAACTACAAACTACCGACGGAAAACAATGACTGAAGCATCAGCCGACAGAAAATATACATAAATTATTTTAAAAAAATCCCTCTTCTCCAAAGAGACTCCATGCTTCGCAAGCAGATCAGCCAACTTTTTTTACCTCAAGATAGACATCTCTCCAAGAAATAGCAATAAGAACACGTTTCTTTAGACATTACTAAAAAATAAAGATTATAAATCATTGTCATTATAAATCATTTCTTACCGTCTAGAAGTAAGAATAGTATCAATCTAATTCCATTAACAAAATCATCCATATAAAAAATAACAAATTTCATTTTTGTTCATCATTAAACATTACCTTTATACTTCTATATGATACATGTTTCTATGTCTCATATGTAATATATTGTTGGATTTTTCATAAATTTTTAAAGTTTTAGATGTTTCATAAATATGAATATCAGTTGTATCCTAAAATATAAATATCGATCGGATATAAATATAAGAAACAAATTGGAATATCAATGTATTTTATATATATATAATATAATATGAATTGATAAAAGCTTTGACTGGCGCCGACTTTGACTTTTATATTATTTATTTACTTCTCAATTGTTGAATGGATAGTTTTTGTTGATTTATCTATGCCTGTATTTATCTCAAATAAAATTCAACTTCTCAGCTAGTTTACAAATTCTTATCTTTGGTTGATCATACAAGTTATTTTAAACAATTGAGTATGCCATATCCTTTGCCATGTTTTCATATATATATATATATATATAT